CAACATCGAAAAGTAGGGATAATGCACATGCAACTCCAAAACGAAGAAACACCAGAGATTTGTCATATTACTCCTCTAACTACCATCACATACCTATACATAACAGTAAAAAAAATACAGTGACAACAGCAAGAGCAACTATACTATTAGAAACTGAACTGGACATGCCCATGGACTACAAACAATAGATACATTGATATATCAATAAATAAATATAAAGACCTAACGGCCAAGTAAATAACGTAATCCACGAAACGAGGTTTACCAGAAACGTGTAAAAGTATCTTTGTGGTATGAACTTTCTAATTTCTCATTCCGTTAGTGTGATGTTAGACTCGCAAGTTAAATTTTATTACTTTTCGCCATTATGTGGAATTTTAAAACTACATAGTGTGTTTAATTATGAACAAAATACTTGTTTATATTGTTGAACACACACCACCGTTTATGTCCATAATTTAGAATAAAAACCTTAATTATAGAAATAAAATACAAAAATTGTTGTAAGTTTTTATTTTCGTATATAAATATATTTGACACTACATACTTATAAAATGTATATAAACTTGATATGTCGCTTAATTAAATAACAATATACCTACATGGAATGGCTTTTTCGCGTACATTAAGTATTTTAATTAAAAAAGAAGTATAAAAAATTCGCTACATCATTCTCCGCTATCAAACAATGAACGTGTATTTAATCCTATATAATTATGTAAAATTTCTTATACAAAACTGTATAAAACTAACAAATTAGTAGGCACGGGCACATTTAGCGGAGCTAAAAACAGTGGGCATATAAAATAATAACGTTTAAATCAAACTAATATTTTTTTTAATATCGACTTGATGCACACCAGCATACGTAAATCGAAATTAAACAAAAGATATTTTTTTTTAGATTTTGTGATAAAGCAGAAAAGGCTAAAAATTGTAACAGTTTAACATTATTAAATCGAAACTTTAATAAATTTAAAAAACTATCAATTTTATTAATGCTTACGAAATTCACAAGAACGCAAAATCACCCTTCAAACCACTTGACAAATTTATATCATATGAAAAGCAATATTCATTTGTATATTTTTTTGTGACAATACTCCACCAGTTTGTTGTTATAATTAATATGGAACAAACTCAAATAAAAATTCCTTCGATCAGGCTCAACTGAAAATTTTCGCTTAACGAGATATCGCTCTCCCAACTGAGCTATGGAACAAGCAATAATCTTTGCATTTTCATGCAAAATCCGTTTAAACCTAAAACATGACAGTCGACTTTTTTATTGTCAAATTAAATCTAAACAAATAAAAAAAAGCGAAAAAACGCTATTATTATTTTGAGGATTTTACAAGTGTGCAGCTAGATGTGGCCGTGTGTATTGTATAATATAGATACATTAAATTGATAAAAAATGGACATTGTTTAGCTATTTACTATTACAAAGCCGAAATAGAAGAACTTAAGACTACTTATAACTAAACTATATGTATATACACGACGAACTCGCCTGTAATAATATAACAAAAGGAATGCAATGATAAATGGAAACAGTCTTGCAAAAATAGGTAATTTTATTACAAGGTTGCATTATACTTATGTCCAGGGATCCTTTTATAGACAAATAAAGGGTTAAACAAAACTACAGTACTGGCTATACAGTATGGAATTATCATAACTAAAACGTAATCGATATTTTGAGCGAAATTGAGTTATTTAGTTTCAGTTTTATTGCTAATGCAAAACAAGGGTAATTGACATTTTTGCTAGCAAGAAAAAATTTAGATGCCATCCATTGACTATGCCATCCATCCCAAAAGTTATCGGAATGCAAATGGGTTAGTTACGATAAGGAGGGCAGAATAACACCCCAACTTTCTGTAGGTGAGAAGTAAAGAGAACCATAAGTGGCCAGATAGTAAAGGAATTTTCCTTTCTTTACTTTTAATTTTCCACTCTGAGCTTGAAATTGTAAAAACCCGAGAGACACTGCCACTGCACCCATCACCCTAAGATATATAAGTCCCATGTACCTTTAGTTTCATCACCAACCTTCAAAACGCAGTAATGCTGACATTACTACTTGGCGATTGGAATAAGTGCGGTGGCAGTGCTTGCGTGGACGATCTCTCACAAGTATCTCCAATGCTACTAAAAATTATTAACAATATTTGGAAGCACGGAAATATTGACAGTGAAATTTATAGCATTTTATTTTTATTAAAAAAATAAATACAAATGTATCTGTAGAATTTATATATATGTATTCGATATGAAACGCACTAGTTTCTGTTTCATATCACCGTCGCTTTATGAAATCACTAATAATCGAAAAATTATCAAGATATTTATTGTCTTTAGTAATTATCATAATTATCCGTGCTGATTCATAGTTCTGCCTCCTTAATCTATCTTTTCAGTGATAATGACAAACAGTGAGAAAACTAATTAACTACAAGTAAATAAATAAACTAAAAAACTAAATAAAATAAAAAAAACGCATTTGTGACTTACATTGAGATACAAGCATAATATGGCACGACATTGCTAGCGGTAACATTTTAGTGTTCCAATTAATTTCATAAAATATAAGATAATAAAATTATCAAGGTATGTACATTATCAAGATATTTATTTTCTTTGATAATGATTTCGATATTTGTTTGTGACCTAACTAATTATAAGCCTTGATAACAGATTTGCCAAAAAAAAACTACTTACACGTTTCATTATTGTAGGTACACATTGTATTTGAAGATAGTTCAAATCGATCGTGATCGCGGTCCTTTCCTGGCAATAATAAGTAATAATTAAAATGTAACAAATTTAGTAAGAGTTAATAGTGAAAAACTGTACTCAGAAACTGATCTCGTTTATGAAAATAAATAGAACCAATTTCTACCAGTTAATGCAGAATAACTGGTTTGTGTACTAAATTTACAGATAACCTTATCTAACTTCATAGTTCTTTTAATTACAAGTAATAAACAGATTGTCAACTGTAGTTACAAACGACACAACAACATATATATAAAATATGAAGATAATTATCAAGTTATATTATCAAGATAATTATCATGACCAATTACCATCATTGGAATATCAGCAACCCTGCTTGGAACTAAATATAAAGGTAAAAAGTTATTTCGATTAAGCAGGGTAGAGATGTTAAGAGTCGATACTGCCGCAGCTCGAATTCAAATTTTCCCTGTACTAACACGGTTCATTTTGCTAAGGTTGAACGGCAGAGACACTGGCTTTATTTCAGAATTTTTTTTTACAAATGAAATTAAATCCATTTGACAAATATATTATTATATTATACTACACGAGTTCTATTTAGTTCAGTTGATATAAAATAATAATTGGTATATGTAAAGTACCTATTGAATACAGTGGTTTTCTTGCAAAATTTCGAGGTAAGTTTGTGTATTTTTTCAAGTTTGTGTATTTTTTCAAGTTTGTGTATTTTTTCAAGTTTGTGTATTTTTTCAATCGTGAAAATTTTTAGGAATCGTGTTTTCACACCATATACTAATCAGTGTATATCCTCAATTTTATTATATATTTTTTGTTTGATTCAACACTTTCACAAGCCATTAGAGGTTGTATAGACTCTTAAAGCTCTTCTCCATTCCGCTTTTGAAAATCTCTAACACTTAATCATACTTAATCAAGGAATGCACTGGTATACCTTTAAGAATATTTTCTCGTCCTTTCAAAGGCTCTAGTTCAATGACAATCAAACATCCGATGACATCAGCACCACATGTCTGTAGGAGCCGAGTCGCTGCATTGATGGAGCCCCCTGTGGCGAGCAAGTCGTCTACGATCACACATTTGAGGCCTGAGGGGATAGCGTTCTTTTGGATTTCCATTACATCCTAAAATTGAGAAAGGCAATATTTAATATATTGTCTAGATGTTTTCAAAAAGGTTGTTTCTGGTTTGACAGTTGGCTTCCATGTTGCTACTGATTTGAATGAAAATGAAATTGTGACTTATTGAGTAGCAGCACAACTGCAGCAGTTGATACCAACTGATGCATAATACATAGATATAGATACTTACCGATCCATATTCCAAATCATAATTATAAGATGCAACATCTCCAGGCAGTTTTCCCTTCTTCCTAACTGGAATACATCCAATGCCAAGTTCAGCAGCCAATGAAAATGAAAAGAGGAACCCTCGGGCTTCCAGTCCTATAACAGCTTCCACATCAGGATACTTGCTGCGCAGTACTTTAACGAGTAGGCTATGAAGCAGCTTGCATGTTGGACCATTGGTTAACGCTGAGAATATATCCCTGAAAATGGAATTTAGGTCTTCATTATAGACAAAATAGAAAAATCTCCAGTTTATTGGCTCTAGAGACTGGTATAACACTCATAATAATAACAGTAATGTTTATTTTCTCTCTTTACAAACATTTCAAAGTTTTATAAAGTAATTTTTATTATATGATTACGTATTAAAAATACCTTTGTAAGAGACTGGACTTGTGACAACAATAAATTGACACTAAACTATTGAACTTTCTAACAGCAAAAGTAAGTTCTATTCAACCAATTTTTTCTCTAAAACATTTAATATGTTTTTAATAGTAAGTCAATGTGATACAATGGCAAACAACAATGTTGACGGCATCAGCCATTAATGATACAGCGTAAATAATATTATACATAATACTCCTTATCAGTTTCAATAACAGCGACCCTTCGAGATTATTTCCAAGTGTGTGCCTTATATGACTCGCCATATTGAATTTTGTCTTAAATGCCCGATCACAAACAGAGCAACAAAGTTGACCTGCAGAGTTGAAATTATATGTATAGGAAAACTTAGGTCTGTCGTTACTCATTTGGCATTTTTTGTTTAATGTTTTGATTCGCTTTTGTTTCTATATTTTTACATTTTTATGGATAGTAGACCGCGAAGAAGACCTATATGAAGCAAGCCCCTCGTAACCTGATGATCAATAGCACAAGCGTGTAGATGTCTCTTGAACACATCCTTATAGCGAAGATGTTGACCACCATGCTTCCGTTTGTGTTCCGCCCTCTCGGAGTAGAATACAACATTAGGCAAACGGTTGTCCTCCATGTGAAGGACGTGCCCACACTGCAGGCACAAATTACAGGCATATGGTACTTGTCAATTTGTCTCAAGGTGACAGGCACAGTGGCAGTGTGACTCAGATGTTTGCGATTTAAACTCTAAGTGGCACTGCAACTGCTATGGACAGGCGTGTCGCTTAACACCTGCTGTACGACTTGTTTATCCTATCACTTAGTATTATAAAAAAATCTATTATTTTGAATCAACAAGCACTACGGCACAAAGAAAAGTTACGACATTCTGGTATGCGATGCTATTTAAGTACCTACTTTCCATGAACGGGTTAAGTCTATGGGAAAGATATTGTATAATTTGTATAATTTGTCTTGTACATTGTGCCTGGCAAAGGCATTGGGTAACGGCTTATACATATAAATCCTCATGGAGATTAATAACATATTAATTACTTTTTTGTTCTTTTCTTAAATAATGTGTGTGATTTATATTGTTACAAATGTAAATGTAGGTTTTCTATGTTTTGTCACTGTAGTGGTCTGAGCAAATAAAATTCGAATTGGAAAGTAAGTAGTAACAAAAATTTAAAGATCTTACCAAAACAAAATTCCTTGTTTAGGAAAATCAGGATAGCTTTTTATCTTCTCTTTTACTTCCGCTACTTTTTTCTCGTAATCTGCATCCATTTTCAAGTATAAAATAACCTTTGAACACGCAACACACGAAGATAAATTTAAATAAATAATTTCGCGTACTATATAATTATAATTTCTATTGAACACAAGTTTATCACATATAAAACAGCTCTGGAAACTTCGCTTATGTAATAAAAATACAGATATTACGATTAAACATATATTATTATACGATAGACAATTTTAAGGTTATAGTTCTACTTAGAAATTATTACTTTTTTTATTAATAATTTTAGCGTGGATACAAGTCCTTTGAGCCATGCCTTCGTTTAATTGAATAGATT